GTTATATTCCTACTGATGGATATTAGATTGCAATGATTATTGGTTGTATTGCTCAACCCGAGATGCGTCTTTAAAGATTCTGGGAATCTGACTCTTTGCTCTGTGACTGGAATGAAAATGACATAATAATACATTACTACAGTCATAAACCTTATACAGTGTGTGTGTGTGTGTGTGTTATAGATTAATTTCTCTAATTGCTCCTTGGATGATGGGTGTCTCATGACCCTGAAGGAATGGATCATGTTTTTGACATGAAAGTGCATTAATTTAATTCGTTCCCCGACAACGTGATCCCCGCACATACCGATCCTGCCCTCGTTCTGTCGGCTCCCCCTCTCATCCTGCATGGGCAGAGTGGTGCTGAAAGATCAGGGCTAATACTGAGCCCAAGAGGGAGGAGGAGGAGGAGGAGGAGGTGGAGGAGGAGAGAGTGAGTTTGCAGTGGAGAAATTATTTTAAGTATCCTGCCAGATTTATTTTTCATGTTATTTCTGTTGATTCACAGCGAGTTGCTGCTCTTCACTGTACATTTGTGTCATCGCTGACTCCGTTGACCTGACTCCCATCGATCTGCCTCCATCTCTGTCTCCAGAAACCAGGATTTCTTCCCAGTTTTACAGTTTGAGCTCTGGAGTAGTTCCTCACTCAGTTCACCAGCTGCTGCTCCAGTTTTGAAGCCACTGCAGTCGACATCTCTCTCACCCGATTGGTTGTTGGCTCCAGACGCAGGGCAGATTATCCCGTTGTCATGGCTACAGCAAACAGGAAATGCCCCGAAGCAGGTAACGCTTCAGGGCCTGTTCCGGTGTGACGCTCATTGCTTGTGGGCAAACTCTGCTGATTGCTGTTGCTCCGTCTTTCCATCTGCTCCCCACAATGCCTCCCTGTTTTTTCGGGCGACGGGAGCAGCCAAGGAGCTGAACCATAAAACGCTGTCTGGATAAAGATGCTTTGTCCCAAACAAGCCCTGAAATCCAAGGTCGACGCTAAACTCCGTATCCACAGCTCCTTAGTTTAGGTGCTTAACATACATTTGGAATAAAAACTGAATCCACAGGAGCACTGCTGCTTTGTGCATCCTCGCTATTTCTTCATAACATCTTGTACCGAGTCACTTTGATTGCAGAATATCAGCAGATGCTCCATTATTTTCGGCCGTCACGGGAGACTTTTCTCTCTTTCTTTGCGGGTTCCTCTTCATTACATATGCCTAGCTGTTGGAAAACGGGCCCTGAATGTACGTCCTCTCTCTCTCTAATCCCCCCGTGGTGAAGGTGCAGGTCTGTGTGCCTTTGTACAGTCCCTTTGATGCTCGCTGATGGCCATTGAGTAGCTCTCCGCGAGCTGCGGCCTTAAAGCAGCTTGAGCTGGGTTTTGTGTGCAGCTCATAAACTGAAGAAAGAGGAGAGAGGGGCCCAGCGGCGGGAGGGAATCAGACTTTCTCCATGCCCTCAGTTACAGTCCATATTCCCCCTAGTGCACCTCATCTGTCTGTGACAATAATGTTGACGGGGGCACATCGGTGGTTTCTGGTATGTAAACGTTGCCATCGGGGGGGAACTGCAGATTATATATCAGTGCTGGTAGAATTTTTTATTCTTTGTATACGTTTTCCCGACTCGATTTTCCTTTTTGCTCCTGAGCTGAAAAACAGACAAAGAGTATGGATTTCTCTTCCTGTCTGCTCAGCTCATTGTTGCACAGACTAGTGGACAAGAGGAGAGCTAAGAAATTACACAAGTTACAACAGAACAAGCATTTCTCACATGTATTTTTTTATTTCTGTCATGTCAATGTGTTTCACCCCCTTCTGGATTACAAGATGCTTCTGGTATTTCATTTACTAAACATGTGCAAAAAAGAAAATGTTTCATAGGTTAAAAAAAACAGTAGTAAACTTCACAATCTGTAATTTTAGGAACCATATAAGGAAATAAGTGATTAATTCATTCACAGGCAGATTACTTTCTCCCGGTTGGCATTTTTGATTAAATGCGGCTTAACGTCTCTTGTAACTGTGATTACATAAACCTGCATTACATCCTTTTTGGCTTCAGACCCTCAAAGACTCTGAAAACCTGTTTTCTCAATCAACGTTTCTATGAACGAGGCTGTTTAACATCATTTGGATCAAACTCTGATGACAGTTGTGGGTTTATATTTCCATTTTGGAAACTATTATTGTGATTGATTTATCATTCAGGTCACGTTTCAAGCAACAATGCCAGACAATTTTCATACCTGAGCATTTTGATGTCATTCTAAACGGATCTTTATTTCTCAGGGTTTTGAATTGTTGGGCAGAAGATTGTGTTGTTTTGAAGGTTGCAGAGGATTCAGGGGTTGAAACTTTAATTCACATTTTTAAATCATAAGCAAAGTCCTTGATTTAAACAGTACAGTGATGATGCAGCCATAGAAAACCAGCCAGACAGTTTATACTCTGCTGTATGAAGCATGACTCCTGGTATCAGCTCCCTCCTGTGGCCAAGTAAGGAAGTGAAGCGACTACAAAAAGAGCCCTGAAAAGAAGCTTTCAAAATCTAATCTAATTATGAGAATTTAGCTCCAAGTAAAAAATTACTCAGCTGTTAAATGTCTAAATAACATTTCAAGCTGCCTGATGTGTTTTTGTATGTTCACCCTCTACGCAGCCAGTCCCTGAACATGGACTCCTCCTTTAATTCAAACCCCCCAGCACCTCCCTGCCTCCCTGGCTCTCAGTATATGCTCCCTCTCTTGGTCATCAATAATACTACTGCTGCTCCCTTACCCCCTGTTAGCCCCCCTCCACCCCCCTGTCTGCTACACACTGGGACATTACCATTTGGTGAGACTGACTGGCTTTGGTGAGGAGACGGTGGGGGTCCTGTAGGGGGTACTCCTGCTCTCAAGGCTCCCTTCTGCATGGTCTGAGCAGCCGGATCTCTTTGTTATCGTTGAATGCCCACGTGCCATCGCTGGGAGAGATAGAAGGGGGGTGGTACCGTCTCTGAATCTGTGTGGATAAGCCGGAGCTTTTTTGGCCTTGTGGGAAATGGAGTCAGACGCTTTGTCTGCCTGTGTGATGAATGCACTTCAGGCCTGTGTCTTATGCAATGGAAGGTTGAGGTGATGCTCGACGTCAGTGTGGACTCATGTCGATGCTGCGGTGTGGACACAGATGGGTTTAGGCAGCGGTGAGAATTTTTTAATGTGAAGCGTTTGTTCCTCAAAAACCTCCCAGACCGGCCTCAATGACAGCAGCAGTACACCCGTCTCAACAGCAGGTGTCACCACCAAGCAAACTAATGCTGGGAGCTGTCAGCAGAGAAAGGGAAGGGCCAACGTTTGTCTATCGATAAGTCCATTTCAATAATCAGGGGCGTGAAGGAAGTCTGAAGGACGTATGTTTTGATGTCTGCATCGCTGCTGGTGCCATCCATACTTTTCTTTACGTAATCACGTCTGTATGTAGTCGTGCGTTATAATATGGATGCTTTAAGAAGGATCAGGCTCATGTAGACGCCTCTCAGGGACGACAGATCCTCCAGAAGGTCACGACCTCTGGCCTAGATGTCACAGACCAGCTAACCAGCAGTGATAATAGAAGACTGTTCCTCTTAGTGCTCGACTGGAGTGACTCCCTGTTTCTCTTAACATATTCCTTGTGCCGTCCTGTAGGAATAAGTTTGTGATGGGAGACATTTTGTGCTTCTTTTCCTCTTTCTGTTCAAACTCTTTAATGGTCGTTAACGCTTCCCTTTGACGCCTGGTTTGACACTTTTCACACCAGGAGGGCCGAGGAAGAGGAAGCGGCGTGGCGGCGTAAATTTGCCGTCGTGTGTCACAAGCCAAGCCCCTCTTTGAATCTGCACCACTTCAGTTCCTTTGTCATTCAAATAACCTCATGAATATTTCACTGCCCCGATGTGACGGCTGGATGAGAGAGCGTGGTGGCGGGGGGAGAGGAAGGGGACCTGAAAGAGTCATCAACTTCAACGTGGCGTGCTTTTTTGTCAGACTAACGACCTGTGTGGCGACGGCCAAAGTGTGTAATTTGGAGTGTTAGACGTCTTGTCACGTCACAGCTTCAGAATCACAGCACACACAGAGAGAGCCAGTGTGTGGATTCAGCTTTGCTTCACTAAGTCTTTTCTTTATTCCTCGCATCACATTCCTCTGTCCTTGGCGTGTTTTTGTTTTTTTGTGGGGGCTTTTAGTTTCTTGCATTTTGTGGCGGAAGCTTCAAGAAAACCAGCTCGCAGGGAAATCACAACAGAGCCTAATTACACGTGTCAAGTGACACAGTCACCTTGCTGTGCGGACCAGCCGTGTTTGTTTGCCATTGCTCTGCGGCCACAGCCTGAACGCAGCCTCTGAGCCGGCTAGTGGGTGAAAGGTAAAGCTAATGAGGCTGCTGGAGGAAATTCTCGTAACCTGTGAATGCACTCTGACAAAGGCCAGCACAGAAACATGGGAGATGAAGGTGCCGTTGCTGTGGCCTCCTCCTTTTTGTGAAGTGGCTGTAGAGCACATTGTGACACATGCTTTCCACTCAGAGGGAAACCATCAAACACAGTCCCCCTGATTTTTTTTTATGTGCTTTTAATTCAAGTACACCCTCCTCCTCCTCCTTCTCCTCGTCACCACTACGTCACGGCTCGACCATATATTTGTGAGTGTACACATGCGTTAATGATATGCAGCGTGGTCCCTTTAAGAGCCCAATGTCCTTTTTTGAGAATGAGTCCAAACTCTGAGCTGTGTGTGTGTGCTGACCGTGGCCTCTGGGCTGGTCACCAGGGGGAAGCTGCAGAAAAAGGAATGGCTTACTGATTCTAACCTCCCCAGCCCCCAGTCGAGACCAAACGGCAGCCTCTCTCCGGCTGCCTGCCCTTATCTACCAATGGAATGCAACAGCTGTGCGGGGGAGCAGCAGAGTGGGCTGGCTGAAACCCCCCTGCCAGACCCCTGCATGGCTCCCCCACCACCACCTCCACCTCCAAGGGACGTACTGGGCTCCTGAAAGGCAGCTCAACTAAAAAGTGAGCTAGACGCACAGTGAGACACTCGGCAGAGCTGCTGCACATTCAAAATAGAGGGAGAGGGAGGGAAGAGAGAGAGAGAGAGAGAGAGAGAGACAGGGAGGGAGAGAGAAGGAGAGTCAGGGACAGGCAGTGCTGAAAAGGAGAGCACAAAGAGAAGGAAAGTGGAGCAGGGGAGGGGAACAGGAGGCTGGGTGAAGGGAGAGGGAAAGACAAAAGAAGGAGAGGGGAGACTTCGCAGGGTGAACGGAGGGGACTGAGCAAATGGCTACGGAGGAGACGGCGGGGGGAGCCAGGAAAGCCACCAAGAGCAAACTGTTTGAGTTCCTGGTCCATGGAGTGGTGAGTGGCGCTGTCCGTCATTCCTGTGAAAGGAGCTGAGCTCTGGCATGCATCTGTGTGTGTGTGTGTGTGTGTGTGCTTGTGTGTGTGTGTGCATGAGTCGGCGCAGCAGCAGCAGTCTGTGTGCGGGAGATAGCTGGGTAAAGCTGGCCATGTGAAGGTTATTTCCAGCCCCCTGGATCCCAGCCTGTGAGGAGGAGATGACTTGAGAGAACAAGAAGTGGAGCAGCATGGATGGATGGAGCTGAGCAGGAGGAGGAGGATGGGGAGCAGAGGATTTCTCCCTCTCTCTCTCTCTCACACACACACACACTCACACAGAAAATGGATAATATGTAGAAATAAAAGCTAAGCAGCAGCAGCAGCAGCAGCAGCAAAAAGCAGCCAGCTCCCCCTTTGGCGAACAGAGGAGCACGCTGAGCATGCTTCCCTGGGAGTCACAGACAGAAGGGATGGGGTGGGGTGGGGGGGATGACGAGTCCACTCACAACAACAGAGTCAGAGTAAGGCGTGCAGGGAGGGGGGGGGGGTGGTTGGTCTGAACCTGTAAGGTCACGAGACAAACGGACGTAGTATCAGCGAGAAGGAGCCGAGGCAGACGGCCAATCCTGGAAATGATGCAGAACAATCAGCCCATTCATGTGGAGCGAGCATGAAATGTCAAGTCAAGTGTTGCTCACGGTTAGAGGTTAGGCAACTATTGCCACGAGCTCCGTGCTGCACGTGAAAAGCAGGACAGGGAGCACAGTGGTGGTTTGTTTTGGTGATGAGCTGAATGAAATAGTGTGCAGAGTCTTTTTTTAAGTGGCACTTTGTTGTTTGAGAGTTTTAACAGATGTGTAACTGTGACATTGACTCATTTATTTCCAAACCTGAACATAAAGCCGTGTCTGTGTTTGACCTCTGTTCAACCGGAGCGACTTTCCCCTCTCAGATAATTTCATGTGATTATATTTTTAAGACCGGGATCTGTCTGGAGAATCATTGTTTGGTTTATTGTTAACCAAACTTATCAAAGCTCAAGGTGACATCGTCAAATGTCTCGTTCTGTAGAAGCAGAAACATCAAGCCCAAAGATATTATAATTACAATGATGCATGACGATGGGAAGCAGCAAATCCTAATTTACAAGAATTTAATTGTTCTCTTAAGGTTTCTGCTCTTTTGTTTATCGAGTATTTTCACTGGGCTATGTGTCTTTATTAGCGAACTGGCAGTCGAGCAATGACGGGGAAAAGAGAGATGGACGTGCAACATAAGTCAAGGCCAGAGTCGAGGCAGGAACATTACAGTTCACGGCCTTAAAACCCCCCCTCAGCCAACAGGACGATTTGTAATGACCTTAAAAGGTAAAACTGTATAGTTTGACACAAAACTCTGCAGCAAACAGCCGACACGTTTCACCATAAATATTATTTACAAGTCCACCTGACTCCTCGAGACCCCGTGCGGCCTCGACTTTATGATTAAAGCGAATTTTCCCTTTGCACATGTTTCCTTAAACCTGGTGTTACTACTAAATCCTCAAGTGTATGGAGAAGGTCAAATAAACTATGGTCCTTTTTTCTTCAGTGTAAGATTTAGTCCCCGTGTCATTGTTTCATTTGAATACATGTTTATTTGAGTGTATTTTAAGCCTTTAGTGTAATATGGAAACTTAATGAGATGAAGAACAATTGGAGTTAAACCGGAAACGTTGAGGTCCATGATCTTAAAGTCCTCGGACACATTTTGCAGAATCAAGCAGAATCTAGGAAAGGAGTCAAAACCCATTTAAACAGAATTATATTTGTATTATTTCCAAAAATCATCTGACAACCTGTGAAATTGATCTTGGGCCCGTCACTGGGGTCCTGATGTCGGGGGCTTTTCCGTTAATGGCTTCGTCAAACTGTTTTATATAATTTCTTAAAGTTGTGTTTTTCGGGTAAAATGTCAAAACAGTCTAAATTTGAGCTCTGGGTGTTTAAAATGTTAAAACTTCCACACAGCTCTTTTTTAATGTTAATGTAAACCCACTCAAATTAAAACGGAAAATTTGCACTTTCGTGTCAAATCCATTATTCTGTTTGAAATAAGAATATGCTGAAGCTCAGAGCCTGAGGAGTAAAAAGAAGAGTCTGACTGCGGGAATAAGTTTGGCCTTGACCGTAGCTCTTTGTCATACACGTCAGTTCCAGGCTGTGGTTTCTACTTTCTGCTGAACTGAATTTCACCTTAACACCGATTCCGAAACTTGGCATCACTTCACTAATCCTGGAGCACGTCGAGAATGTCCAGAAGACTGTATGTCATTAGCTTGTCAAATCTGTACATGTCTCCAGGATGCTGGACTGAGCTCTGGTTTTAAGACGTAACTATTTGAATCCGTGCTGATGTCGGGCCGCACGGTGACACCAGGTAGATTTATACACTGAAACCAGATGAGGTATTGTTTCTGTGACAGGAGCGGTCATTACAGGGGCTTTGGTGCAGAAGTCCTGCACACACAGACAGACTTTAGGATACAATGGACCAAGTGATTGATGAGACGAATGAGTGTGTCCTCTCAACAGACCAATTAACCTTGATGAGGCTCTGGCTGCTCCAAGCCAAATATTTCCCTCTGCCTATTTTCTCTCGTGCTTTACTCTGTCTCTCCCCCTCATTTTAAGATGGAAAAGTCTTGTTATAATAGTTGTGGCAGGTTCCTCGCTGTGTACGCTGCAGAGCACAGAAATATTTATAGTGTGGGATATGGCGATGATTTGGCGCAGCTAGTTAGCTTGTGGCGAGGGATGACGTTCTCCTTTCCCCTCGTGGCTGACTGAGGCAGAGCGAGCTCTCAGACACAGAAACACACATGTCGGTGCGTTTATTTCGGACAAAAATATATGTAAATACTGTACGTGCACGCCATTGTTGTGGTTACCAGAGGTCATAGTGTTCCGACCTCAAAGCAGCTGCGTGAGTGTGTGTTGTGGGGGAGAGTGTTTGGCCGAGGTCTGGTTCTAGGACTGATGGGTGGGCTGAAGGTCTGGGTGAGGTCTCTTCTTTCTCTCTCATTATCTCCCTTGCCTCCCCCTGCTGTGCTGGTCCTCTGCCTTGTGTGTGTGTGTGCTGGAGGTCAGTAAGGGCTGCGGCGATGAGAAAAGCCTTCCAGAGCTCTGCATGGGAAACCCTGATAAGCTCAAACATAATACGACACAGTGTAGCTTTGTCATCTGCAGTTCTGAGTTTGTGTTTAAGCGAGCGATTGGACCTTTGAACGTAAACTCCACCTCCGTCCTCACATCTGGTTCATCCGGATCAATCGCTTGAAGGGTTAGCTCGCCCAAGAATTAGCAAAAGAAGAGACAATCCCTCTCATCTAGCATGGTTTGGATTTTGGTGTCTGTGTTATTATATCGAAAATTACAAGATAAGTCAGTTCTCTGCGTTTGCCCCAAAACAACTGTGGTGCTCACCACATTGAAATGTAATTTTTAAAACATGTGGATGATCCACAGACCCTGCCCTGATCAGCTTTCATTGAAATGACTTTCCTTCAAAGACAAAGTTCAAACAAACATTGTAATAAAGTGGTGGGGGATTTTTTTTTGGGAAGGATAGAGCTGGTTTTGATAAATCGTTAAATTATATTTCTGTTTATTTGAGTTTCATTCACCTCAGTTCTCTTGGGCTGAAGATCTTCGTCTCTGAGTTGGATATCTGATAAATTCAGCACATGAGACCGAGTCTGTCTGTGTGGTTTGATGCCACTGGAGGTTAATGAGAAAAATATTTCATAATGAGTCATTAAAGCCATCAGCATTTGTTTGATTGTAGAGTTAGAATCCCCTTTTTAATGGTGAATGTGTTGTATTATATACAGAAATTGTTTTACTGTGTATAATGTGATGTGGTCAAGAGTCAATGTCCTTTTTCTCACTGATGTAAAAGTCAAATAAGAATCAAATATTGCTGTTAATCAGTCTTTTGATTTGATATGTTGTTTTACAAAGAGATGGATAAATAGTACTGAACAAGAGGGCTTCATTTCTGAAAGAAGATTCCATATATTCTCTATATTCATATGTCACAGCCTTGTTTGGTGTCAGTATCAGAATAAACACTTAAATTATTAAATTGATGCTCAGTGTAATGAACTGTGTGTCAACTATCTGCTGATTATTTTATCATAGCGTCCCAGGAGACTTGTTTTACCTACAATCCAAAACCCGCTCTGAAAACACAGTTTACGGCATAAAAGATAAATTAAAATTACGATGGGCATTAACAGAATCACAAGACAGACTCGAGCTGAATCAAAAACAAGATAAAAAAAAAACTTTAGATTACACAGCACATGCCCTGGAAGTCAAATCAACATTATTCAGTAAACCAGGGGATGAAAACCAAATATAAGAAAACATATTTGATGTTATCTTTTGGTTTTTGAATTATTGATGTTTTTCACCGTTTTCTGACACTTGAGATATTATCCAATAAATCAATAGTCACGTCCCATTCATGGAACCTCATCCTCAGTTTTTAATAGATTTTTCTGGGTGCCAGTCGAATCCATGTAACAACCCACAGATTCATATGTTTAGTTCAGTGTGGGTTAAGTTTGGCCTCTTCAAATCCCTGCAGCCTTCCCAGAGATGCCAACACACTTCTCAGATATCCATCCACATGGCAGATTCGATCCCTGGCTGGCTGGTAGAGCTCTGGGCTGAGAGCTGGAGTCGGTTCAGCAGGTCAGATTATAGAGTGCCGCTCATTGTGTGTGTGGATTTAGGGGAAATTCATTTTACACATTACCCAGCTATGGCTGCGTGTGTTATCTGAAGAGCTTAAATTCTCCAGACAGCCGGTGGTAACAGTAGCGCTGTCTGTCTGTCTGTCTGGACGGGCGGGTCTGGCCGCTCAGAGTCTCGTCTCGTCTCTGTTTGGGTGTTGCTGTCCGGCTTAGGCTGGACGCAGACAGAAAAAAGAAGGGGGTATCTTAAGACTCCATAAGGTGACAACAATCAGGCAGGGGGCCCCCAACCATATGTTGTGTTATCCTCCCCTGTGTGGAGACCCTTCTCAGTTGCTTTGACACCCCCCCACCTCCACCAAGCCAGAGTGACAGCACCGCCTGCTCGGCCTTCTTATCACAGGATCTGTGCTCGGTCACCATTTCAAAGGGCAAATAATACGTCGGCCTCAGCCTGTCGAAGGCTGTCGTAATCTGAGTTATTACGTCTCCCTGTGAATACGTTTGAACATTTTGACTCAGCTTAATATGTCGTTTCTCTACGGTGTAATATCCAGTTGTATTTATCATTTAATACCGTGTGCTTTGTTTGTTGTCTGGGTGTTTGTGGACGGTCTAAAGATATCATTAGATACTGTGTGTGTGTGTGTGTGTGTGTGTGTGTGTGTGTGTGTGTGTGTGTGTGTGTGTGTGTGTGTGTGTGTGTGTGTGTGTGTGTGTTGTAATCCACATTTAGAAGTGACAAACACTGCGAGATGTTGGAAAAACGTGAGCTGAGAGAACGTTCAGCTGTTCTCCATCACTCACTGGTTCTGTCACCACACACGGGACAGATCCTGCATCAGTTTAGAATGAGATGTTTTCTGGTTCACCATCGTTTCATGGCAATCAATTTCAGCTCAATGCAACTTAGCAGCTTTTCTATGGCGTTTTACTGTGTTATTGTTGTAGTGGATGTTTGTATCTTGTTTTTTAGTTTTCTTTTAATTTCCCTCAACCAAATTGCCTTTGATATTAATAAAAGATTTGTATTGTGCGGCCGTGCAGATGCTTGATTTAACTACAAGGATCAGATGTATGGAGCTTTATTTGTGTCTCATTAGTGCACATGGAAATAAAAATCTTTTTGGTAATTGCATATGTGATATTTTGCAGAAAGTAAACAGTTTTTCTGTGCTCAATTCAAGTCATTGGCCCCCAAACAAGTTCTCCCACCCTCCCTTATTTCCCTGAGTTCCTTAAATTGGATTAAAAATGGTTAAATGCAAGTATATGCAGTCAGTAAGCATGACATGAAGGGGAAGAGATAGTTAGAACTTTTGTTTTTGAAGTTATGACGTTTTAATCAGCGGACTGGTTTGTCTCTGTAGACGTGTTTAGAGTTTTCTGGTGGGAGGTCTTTGCTCTGGATGAAGTGAAAAGATGTCGTTCTATCACGCGAACCCCCCCCCGCCTGCTCTTTCAGACAATAAACTGAGGCGGGAGGCAGCTGTTGCCATGGGAGTGACAAGCACAGGTGAGAGTTCCCCAGTTGTTCCCAGGCGTCAAGACGAGAGTGTGGGACTGTGGCTTCTGACACTGTTTGCATTGTTTAGGACGTGTGCGTGCGTGCGTGCGTGTGTGTGTGTGTGTGTGTGTGTGTTTGAAAGAGAGAGAGAGTTTGCACGCTGCGAATTCTCTTCATTTAGTCTGATTTTCATTTAAAGGAGGTGAGAACGAGACAGAAAACACAGCAGGAACATGACACTTCTTCTTGTCCTCAGCACGGAGGCTCTTGTTCACTGCATTTTCTGTAAATTACTCTCAGCACCATTACACCAGTATCGACACGAGGCCGATCACTGCTCTAATCAGTCATGTAAAATGATCTGCATCCTGCTGAGACGTGTCTATATCGCTCTCAGAAAGGTTTTTCTAATTCACACATTGCATGTTTCGAGTCCTCTCATGCTTGTGACAATGAGAAATCCCATATTGAATTTCAGCCCATTTTAAGTTTCACAACGTGCTGATCACGCAACATAAACAGAAATCATGCTCATTGACGTCACTAGATTGTGAAATCCTGTTTACCAACCCAGATGTTGTTTGATTTCTAAGCGTTTGCCAAAGGCCGCTAAAGGTAGGAGAGAGCTGACATATGTCAGCTGGTGAGTTCGTCGTCTGTATTTTGAAGTTTCTGGTTTTTCCTGGAAATCAAACCAGTTTTAATCAGAATTTAGTTTTAAAGAGGAAATATCTGTCAGGTGTCTTTGGTGAAGTCCTTTGTTGATGCTCAACTTCATGATTTTGTCAGATAAGATTGATGTTTACAAAAAAAAATTCTCCCCAGTTCGTCTTTAATCCACCTGAGTGAAGTGCATAAAAGTTTGATTGATGTAATATTTCTGTTGTTGTATATTTAGAAACACTCACTTGAGATTAGAATTATTTAGAAACCTCTCCAGAGACTGTTTCTCTACATACATTTGACCCCGCGCCCGTTGTCTGTTTCTCCCCAGCGTCCTGGCATGCCGTCTGGAGCGAGGATGCCCCACCAGGGTGCTCCCATGGGCCCCCCCGGCCCACCGTACGGAGGGAGCCCCGCTGTGCGGCCCGGCCTACCCTCCCCGGTGATGGAGCCCAGTCGCAAGAGGCCCGCCCCCTCCCAGCAGGTCCAGCAGCAGCAGCAGCAGCAGAATCAGCAGCAGCAGCAGCAGTCCGTCCAGAACCGGGCCAGAAAGTGAGTCTGAGTCCAGCTCGCCTCTACACATCACCACCCGTACACTGCATGGCTTTGATACACGACCGCTCACGAGCAGCTGTGGTTACACTCTCAACTGAGCTGGAAGTCTGAAGGAACAACACATCTGACTGCTCATATTCTACGGAACTGCTCTTGAATCGGGTGCAACCAATGTAAAAAGATCAGGGCACCAAAAAACGTTTCTTTGTGAAAACTAGAACGAGTTACTTTTATTTATTGTTTGAAAACACAAGTGGATCATTTCAGACAAAGCAAAAGTTCTTTTTTGGCTCTTTGTGATGAGTCGATATCAAACAATGCATTTCTAGAAGTTGGGCCCATTGTGTTAAATTTAAAAAGGCTTTTCAGGTGTTAAACCTGTATCAAAAAATTTCGAACTTGAACGGCTCTCAATCGAGCGCATTCCTCCGCCAAGGCCGAACAATCCGACACAATTGTCTAGTTCTCATAGTAGAAACAAAAGAGAAGAAAAGGAAGTGTTCTGAAAAAACCAAATCATTTATTTGTCACAAAACATATCGTTGATAAGAATTCATCCCGAGGAGACCAGTAATCTATCCAGCTGTTGTTAAGATGTTTTTTCAGTGAGAGTGAAGTGGTAGTTTTCTCTCCACCAGCGTAACTAATCAAAAAAGCCAAATATTTGTTGTTTCCAGCTTCTCTTTTATCTTCTTTGGACTTTTTTCTCCTTCACTGTAAGCTGAACATTTCTCAGTTTGTCAGAAAAAAACAAGTTATTAAAGAACAATCTGAAACTTTTAAAAGAAAATACTAAATGAATCAATAATAAAAAAAAAAAATCTTCATTACTTGCACGGCGTGTTCAACAACAGTTCCATTCATTCCTAAAACCTTTTTTAAAAAATCCAATCTCAAAAAGTACACGGATGAGAAGTGAAACCATGACCTGTGTGTCTCCGCTCAGCTTTCATGTCAGTGTTTCATGCTCGCACACAACCTCTCTCCCATTTCTCCACCGTTTGATTCCCGTGTGCGTCCACCCTGATCATCCCCATCACTGCTGTGACACGGTGTTTCCTCTGTTCAGTCTCTACGTGTCTTCAGAGTCTGGTAATCTGTCGTGCGTTTGTGAGGACGGTCAGGATCTGGTCGTGTTTTTGGCGTATTGTTCCACTGTTCGATTGCCGTGCACATGCTGAGCATCAGTAAACCAGGCGCGCACACACACGCACAGAGGGGATTGATATCTACTGTATAAGGAGACAAGTGTGAGGCAGGTGTGGTCATTAGAAAGGCGATCGATATGCACACTCTGTGGACCTCTGTCTTTCTCTGTTTCATTCTCTCGGTATCTGCAGCACAATTGATCCACTTACAATTAAGCCGACTTGTCGAACAGGTCAGGGGAAATGTTGTCCTGCGTCAGTGCCTCAACCCCCAGAGTGGCCTGGCGGGGCTGCGCAGAGTCCAATCAATGGTCCAGGGTGACCCGTCCAGGTGTCTCTGTCTCTTTCACTCTCTGATGCTTTGTGTCGGTGTGTGGACCCCTGGCTGCTGCCGGCTGAGGACAAACCACCTGTGTTTGCAGTGTCATTGAGACCTTATGGTCCCGGCTGCACTCGCTCTGCAGAGAAAACGCTCTCATTTGCAAATCTGCAGCTAAAAATAGGATTTAATTCTGGTTTGCTTTGGTATAAATACTCAACCTTGTGTCCTAACAATCATGTTTATATACAACTATTGTTTGTGGGGAAAGTGCCGCCTGTAATGAAGGAAGCAATACATTCATGTCCTGCTCATCACTCACAGGCAGGTGGTCGGAGCACATGCAGGGAGTTTGACCTTGACACCAGTTTCTCATCCTTAGCCTCATGATGAGGTTACACAACTTAGACCTCCAAACATTAAAACAGTTTTTGAAAATGTTATCACTTCATAAAATCACAAATTTTATTTGTGGCAAATTGGTAGTTCCTAATGAATGCTTATGCTTGATTATGCTTATATTAATGCTCATAATGATAATCAACCAAAATTGTTGTGTTATAGTGAATAATAATGTTTTATAATAATAGTTAAAGCAAAATATGACTCAGTTTAATTTGCTGCTGTGTTCGGCAGCACTTTGGACACTGAACACCTCAGTCACCTGATTCACGTGTTTGAGTTACCAGCCTTCATGATTTCCATCCTGTTGTCATGTTGCTCTGGAATGATCTGCTGCTTTCTTCTTGAGAGCACAGCTTCATTCATCGCCCCATATATATATTTTGTTTTTTGCACACAGAGACTTTCAATCTTGTCTTTTATCTCCCTTTTGAAAACCTCATCGCTGGTCTGATCTTTTGTCCTGAGCAGCACTAGTCCTTGAAGTCAGACCTAAAACCTTTTCTCGCCGCTCATGACACACAGCTACTGATGACACTTGAGGTTCTTTAGGGACATTGTGAGATCTGTGCAGGAATGAGGCAGGTTTGACTCGGTGATAAACCAGCAGATTCAAATCGCTGAACGGAGCGGAATGTTCTGGTTTTGTGCATAAAACAAAAACACAGTGTGCATGTTGTCTTCACCTGCATCTTTGAACCGATTGCATTTAATGAAAGCAACATCCACATTTGCAATTCAGACTCATCCTGAGCCGAACCAAAAATCTAAACACACACTCTGCTCGTTTGCTCCCTCTCCATTGAAGTTCGCAGTGTCTCCATTATCAGTGTATTGTCTGTCTGTGTGTGTGAAGCATGATTGTTTTGGTTCACTGAGAAACTTCGTTGAGTGAGCGTGTCCCTCAGATGAGCAGGGCGCCTCCCCAGGTCCTCGTCTGCTGCACTTTGTGTGTGCATGGACTCAGTCACACGCCCATCCCTTTGTCTGAGTTTGGAGTTCTGCACCCACTAACAGACCCTTGAACTTCACACACATCCAACACGTACAGACACACAAACAGCCAGAAACCACCAGGTGTTGCTCCTCTATTTGCTGCCGCTGAGTGTGTCAACTCTAATCGGACAACCTTCGAATCCTCACCAATTCTCAGGAAGCCGGTCGGATTCCCTGGAGCCAATGAGATGCCGGCGAGGCAGATGGACATGAGAGAGCCCCAATCAGATCCCACGCTCGGATCAAAGTAGGAGTTTATTCTGCTGCATGTCAGTTTTCTTACGTTTGATGACTCTGGCCTGGTAGTTTCACCTGAGCCCAGCACTCCCTGAATGAGTTGTTTTGGCCGAACAAACGTGCGGGCCTAGAAGATGACTCCATAACATGTAGTGGTGCATGCTTTGGACTGGAGCATGGCATGATGGGAACGATTTTTTGCAGCTAGAGCATTTAGAAAATGTAGAATCCAAAATCTGAAGTCCCTTTTAAATGAAATGGAGATTGTTGTGATGCAGGTTTGTGTTTCCCTTTGCAATGCACCCCGGATCTTTCAATTTCCTTGCAGCAGGCTTGTTTCAGTATTTGGCATGCTGATAAAACACACTGCTTCACAGATCAGTGCAGTGCTCCTGTGGTAGAAAATATCCACACTGCAAAAAATTCTCCCCTTCTACAAACAAGCAAATGATTCTGTAATTTAGAGGAATATCGCTGCTGTCAGATAGATTTGGAGGAAATGATCTTATTTACAGTGAGATGATAGAAATGTAGAGTGCACACGTTCCCAAGGCTAAACATTTTCTTTTACCAGGTCCTGATTATTATGTGGATCTGCATGAAATTGTGTAAAGATAGACTCATAAATATGTAAGATTTCTTTTACATCAGCTTCACAAAATTAGAGAAATAATCTTGCAACAGTGAGAAAAATGATTTTTTAATCCTTACTCAAATTCATTGGGTTCTTTCCTGGGTCATGGCACAGCCCTCCACAGTGTTGGCTGCAAAGCAGTTGAATATTTTCATGTTAACCTTCTGACAAATGTACAAATAAACCAACAGACACAGGTGAAAACATGACCTCCATGGCAGAGGTAAAAAAATATTGAATTGTCAACCATCAGGCTTTTCTGGAGGATTTTACAGAGGTAAACATCTTTTTCTGTTACTGTATAAAAAACACAATAAAATACTATGAAAAGTTAGAATGTTATAAAAGATTTGTCCACAGACTGTTTATAAAGATGGATGATATGACTGCTCCCATAAAGTGAAGCCAAATCATCTCGAGCGCCACCTGGTGGCTGACTGCTGTCAAGTTCATAAACCTGCCTTCTAATGGGACATGGGCCAAACAAATACATTTCATGTCGCTGTTATCAGACTGATGTTTGTTCATTGAAGTTCATTATTTCATTAAGTTTATTTTTAATTAGTTATTTGATGCTATAAAAATGGGGTAAAACATCATGATTGTTTTACTACCATGGCTCCATCCCCCAATTAATACTGATCCTGGTTCCAAAAAGATGGCAGCGTTTAATTCCAGGATATATCAGCTTCATTTCTGGACTGTAAGAGAAGTGAAGCCGTGTTGTCCATCTTAATACGCAGTCTGTGTATCTGACCTTTAAATTAGAAGTACCACATTTTGAGTGATTCATAAATTAGCTTTCTTCAAATTGGATGAGAAGCTTGATACCACTCTAGTGCCTGTATGGTTTTATTATTATTATTACAAATGTGTAGTAATATATATATTTTCAAATTGACGAATTATTCTTTGAAATCACTTGACAAAAGTAACCAATCTTAAGTAACTCACTGTTAATATGCTCATCGTTTCTGTGTAATGCAGCTTAATTTAGTCAATGAAAAACAGGATCTAAAAGCCCTCTGCTTCTTACACCTTTCAAATATCCACCAGGAGGATGTAACACCCACAAGACAGGATCATTTCTCTTTGATTACAAAAACAAGATTAAATCATCCTAAAGTAAATAATTACGACTTTTTATTGTAATCTCGCTCTGTAATGTCGCTCTGCAGGCACCAAGAAAAGAGCACATGCATGAATTTACACGAGTGTAAATATTTTAATTTGAAATTTAAAAAAGAGAAGGAAACTGTAGTGTTGGGTTTCAAATGAAAGTGACGACAAAGGCAGCAACTCAGACTGTTCAACTGTTCTTATTCCATCATTGGTAAGTATACGACAAAAAAAACACGGTGTCAGTAAATACGTGTCGCACAGCAGGAAATGCCTGTGATTCATGAATGAAAATATAAACACACACACACACACTGTATATTCTCCTCTGTGATACTCTTGAAGACTCTGTATACCTAAAACCTCCATAACACACCTGTCACCATCTACATCCTGCTGCAGCTGCCCCAGTGAATCTACATCGTGTGTGTGTGTGTGTGTGTGTGTGTGTGTGTGTGTGTGTGTGTGTGTGTGTGTGTGTGTGTGTGTGTGTGTGTGTGTGTGTGTGTGTGTG